GTTCGGTATTTATAGAGTAAAATGACATTCCAAGAATTTGCGTCGAAAAAAGAAGGAAGAGTGAATGGAAGGAGGGTTGTAGAATGCGTCGAAAAGAGAAGGAAGAGTGAAGAAAAGGAGGGTTGTGGAATGCGTCGAAAAAAAGAAGGAAGAGTGGATGAAAGGAGGGTTGATCCACATTGAAAATTCATGAGGACATCCCAAGATTTTGGGTCGAAAAAAGGAAGGAAGAGTGAATGAAAGGAAAGTTCATCTATATTGAAAATTCCTGGCATATGTGTCCAAATTCCTTTTTTTTTTTTTTTCTTTAATGAATTTGAGGTTTTTTTTTTTCTTGTGAAAGTCGAACTCCCAGTCCCAACCCCCAAACACTTAATGTTTGGGTCGAATCATTCCGTCCGAAAACCTGATTCGTGTTCAAATTCTAATTGGATTCATGCAAGCCCAGATTTCTGGCATTATCAGCCATATATTATTCGGCTTTATCAGACAAAACAGTGTTTATTGTCAGTAGAGAATATTAGGAAGGGTTGCTGACTAAAATATGAGTAATAATAAGAAAAATAATTAAAATATTTTTAAAAAGGCCTAAACTTCTATTTGCGGTTTTCATTTATATTATTCTTGTGATCAACATCTTTTAAAAAAATTTTTCTTTATTCACACCTTCAATTTTTAAAACTCGTAAAAAACTTAATATTTTAATAGATTGTTATGACACTATTAAAAAATACATTATGTAGCACTAAAAAATTAACGTGACATTATATGACGTTAGTAATCCAATATTTTTTAATGATGTAACTTATTTTTTACATATGTAGGCACCATATGTACAATAAGGCCCACTACATGAATCGCATGGAAGGACTCAAATTCAAGTCATTGCTTTTGGGTTCCTCATGGAACTCAGCCTCCATGGAAGAACAATATTTGAATTCACTTACAATAAAATTTGAAAAACCCATCAAAGAATCAAATCCTCATCTTATTATTCTATCAAAACATAAAAAAAATCATAGAAAAGAAAGGCCAAAAAATGGTACAAATTGGGTTCAACGAGGAATTCAAATTGGGTTTCTCATCGTGAATAACCTAGATCAGGTTTATCGTGGGACTTGATCTTTGTTTTTTTTTTTGTTGGGAGATTTTCACATAAAATTATGCCATGTCATCATGCCACATCATCAAAAAATTGTCCACATTAGGTAAATAATACCACATAACGCCTACATCATTATTTGAATGCAATGTAATGCATTTTTAAAGATTATTAATGAGGTCCTTATGATCCATTAAAATATTAAGTTTTTCATGAGTTTTGAAAAATGGAGGGTGAATAGGCAAGAAAATTTTGGAAGGTATTGACTATGAAAATGATATAAATTGAGAGTGCAAATAGGGGTTTTGGTTTTTTAAAAATTAATTGAAAATTACTTTACATGAAAATTTTACATACAGTTTAAATGCTCATGATAAAATAGTATAAAAAAATTTAAATATATTTAAATAATTTTACAGAATGAACTACATATAATTTATTTTGTAAAACAATTTTCTCATAATTTAATATATAAATAACCAACGACTTTAGTAGTTGGGTGATTATCTTTTTCGGTTGAAAATAAAAGTTCTTGAGTTTGAGTTGCATGGTATGTAAGTGAGGTGATATAAGAGATGAAAAATGATTGTTTTTTATTATGCAATCAAGATAAATATATATAATTTATAAT